CAGGAGGGCCGTCCGGAAGGCCAGGGGTGACTCGTTGGCGCCCCGACTCCGATCGTGGAACAGCTGCCTGCAGTCCGAAGGCGGCCCATAGACGGCTGACAGCAGCTGCAACGCCAGGTGTAGAGTGGCGCGCTTTTCCCTCGGCGCCGAGGTGAGGGTAGCCAGGGCGTCGTTGTCCAGCATCGCTGGCAGCGCGCGTAGGGCCTCGGCGTCCGACCAGTTCGCCATCTCTTGATGAGCGATGAACCGCCTCTTGAAGCCGCCCCAATCTCCGTCAGCGCCGACAAATTCTTTAAGAGGCGGCAGACGCTGTTGTAAGGCGGCGTCCGTGGCCGCAGAACGCTCTCCGTCGCTCCCCGCCGATGATACAGTGTGGGCGGGCCGTGCACATGGCATCGCCGGTCGCTCCGATGTTGACGCGCCGGCCGGCGTTGATGATGTCACGGCTTGTGCTTGGCGCTCAGCAGACACGTGACGCGGGCCGGCCCCGCCCTCCGCTCGTACTGTAGATATGGCGGGAAATTTGACCGCGAGCCGCGTCGGGGTGGCGGGAAACGTCGCCCCGCGCCGGCTGCCTCCGTCGACCCGCGCTGCTCCTCCAGCCCCCAGCCGCGTGATCTCCTCCAACGCGGCGGCCGCGGCGTAGAGCAGGTCCGCCAGGCGGGAGTGGGCCAGCCGGAGTCCTTCGGCCGACGCATCCCCCTCCTCCTGTCGTAGCGGCGCGGGCGTACTCGGCCCCGGCTGCTCCGAATCGACCCCGGCCATCTCTGGTGGTGATTCGGCCGCGGCGTCTTCCATCTCCGACTCCCTGGTACGTGTCGTCCCTCGTGTGTCCATCGTTGGACGTTTACTTCTGACCCCAGATGTAGTAAGTATATATGGAGGCTTGACGACAGGATCGGAGGCACACTTATTTATTACACCAACACAGTTAGTACAGGTCACTTGGCTACAGGGATTCTCGACAGCTAACCCCTCTAGCCTATACCAACTCCTCCACTACGGGACTAGGGGAGGCTATCTGTCCCAGCTTAGTTAAGCTGGGATCCCGGCTCCCTGAGTCACCAGACCAGCTTCGTCTGGGCTCTCGGGGCCACGCCACCGGCTTGCCCTGGTCGGCCCTTAGAAGGACAGCGAGCCAGGGGAGCTCCGGGGCCTACACTAGCAGGTCTTCCGTCTTCTCTGGTTATAGCTGAGTCCCGACCTCGAGCCCTCGAGCTCATCACCTTTTATAGGACTCGCCCCCGAGGGGGGGGCCCGTGGGGGATACACATGCGGACGTCGGTGCGAGCGCAACCCTTGTGTACGGCCGTAACCCCGCCCCTTGTGTTTGTTGGCCATCCGTGGCCATGCATAATCACACCTCAACATTCGTAGCCATGCGCAATTACACCTCTACATATGTAATGCGTGCGTGCGTGTTTCTGTTTGTGTGCTGCGTTCACCCTTGGCTCCAGTATTTCTTATTATTTCTGCAACAACCCCCCCCGCCCCGGCATGTGTGTGTGCCACAATATGAAGGGCACCAGCACCATTCAATATTTGTTGACCCAAAGCAGAGTTTAAGTTGACAGTGCCTGTGATGAAATGGCCTAATATATTATATATGACGAGGTATTTGTTTTCCAGAGATGCCCCCCCAGAGACAGACTACGGCCTAACCCGATCAGCCCTGCGCTAGTGAGCCCCCCACCAACAACAGTGATAAAAACAAACACACACTCGAAATGTATGTTACAGAACGGCTCAAATTTAAACGATGAAAGTTTCATTGCAATCATCTTCTGTTGGGACTTCTTTGAAAAGTGCCATGTTTTAAAGATTACCCATACGATTCATGAGATGGATGAAGGTAGCATCGGAAGACGAGAGTGACACAGAGGAAACAACTGTGCCCCGGACCTGTCCATAGACAGAATACTTGATGATGATGATTTGATTTGGAAAGGTCAATATCATACTACTTAAAACAATCTAGCGGTGGGTTCTTGTTTAAATAAGCTTCTCCTGGTGTCTGACAAAAATACCAGCATTGTTACACCCTTGCCTTATAAAAATTAAAGAAATCTCCTGTCATTACCGCGTCTTTAGTAGGTGCGCAAATTAATTGTCACATACGAAAATAAGATCAAGGGGTCGTCTTGTGTTGTTAAACACAAGCGTACAGACCTTGAGCAGGTCACATCACTGATATTCTAATGTATTATTACTAATGATGTGACTGGTTCCCCCCCAGTCACGTCAAATCGGTCACATCACTGCCATGTAGTCACTGCATTTTCTGATGGAAAATCCAGCCATGAACAATAGAAAAGGACAACGCAGTTAAATCGGGTAGAAAATTAAAAATGCGATATGGATTGTAGCTACGCAGGTCTAGGAGCAATGGCACCTACAACGTACGGACAGGCCTGTCACGTAGCAGCAGATAGAGAAGGGATAACGTTGACGGTTATGATAAAGACTTTGAAGATACATGATGATGTTGTTGAAGATGCGATGTGTGATATAATTGCTTGGCAACGTGACTCATGTTCTGTGCATCCGTGGGAATGACCTGGGATTTTTTGTTGCATTCATCCCAAAAGCCCTCATTTTATATGCGTAACAAATGCAGTTACTCACTGTACCCGCAAAGGCCATGCCCGGGTCAAGTCAGCCTTAGATAACCAGCGAATGCTGCCATTTCATTTGCAGAGATGCTGGAAAATTTAATGCAACAGGTGCAACGCTGATTAATGAGTAGTGACATTTTATTTTGTCAAATTGGCAGCACAAATTCATGTATATATTCATTCAGAGTTAGTCGGGGGAAAAAATGCATCCCAACAAGCTCCAATGTGACTAAAAGGGGCTTCCGTTTTGTGTGTTTGTTGAATAGACCTGATAGATTAGACCTGATAGATTAGACCTGATAGTTTTAAAAATCTTTTTTAATCATTCAATAATAGTGTGGCCTTAAAAGGAAAAATATTTAACAGGCGACGTTTTAGCAATTACCCTTCTTCATAGCACGTATGCTTTTCTTCATATATATTGGTTGGCCGAAATCACTCACAAACTATATTCGCTATTTTGGCCATCAGTAGAGTGTTATTGTGTGAAGGCCTCAGGAAAACAACCTTTGATGAACACAAATAATGTCGGGATGAGGGCCGCAAGCAATAATCTAGCACGTGTGGAGAATAGGTCAAATGGATGAATTTGAAGAACAGCAGCACTTCCTAAAGCTGTGGCACCACTTCATCAGGAACAAACATTGATCTGCCTGTTTCAATGTGGGTATTTCTTCACAGAAGGGGTTAATCCAGTCCCAGCCTTCTTGCTACTAATTTCGTCGCTGCGTTACCTTTTCTTGTTATGCTTTTACTACATCTATCAGTGACCCTTTAAACACATCTACATATAAATGTATCTTAGTGGTATTTGTGTATGGTGGGGCTATGTGGTGGGCATTAGAGGGCAGTGCAGCACAATCATTGTGGTACTATACTTCTATGCTTCCATGTCTATGCTGCCCAATTTAATGATCCCGCACTGACCAAGGGAGGATGACCAATCACAGAGATGGATTGATGAGATTGTCCTTTTGTGCCGAAGCGACATGGATCGTGGCATTGCAAGACTGTGGAATTATCGTGCTTGTTTGTGGTGATGACGGGTAGCATATATGCATGAGCGTATCGTTATCACGCTATTATATACTCTGGCGTTAATTCTGTTGACTCGTTTTGCAATCTTGTCTGTATGATTTTGTTTGTTCATCTCGTTCGCTTGGTCCTACACGGCATACAGTGTAACTAGGCCTCGGCAAGGTAAGGTAAAAGTGTAAAAACAACGAGCCTACCTTTACCCTACCTTTTACCTTACCACAATACAATCACTCTACCCTACCTTTTACCCTTTAGCAGGTAAGGTAAAATGCAACGAGCCTACCTTTTACCCTACCCTTTACCCTTACCCCATGGCATGTTGACACCTTTACCTTTACCCTTTTACCCGGTAAAAACGGTACAATTACCTTACCTTGCTGAGGCCTATGTGTAACATTATCATGCAATGTGCATGTGGTTTGCGTAAACCAATTCTCACACGCAATTTCCCATGCATGCATCATGAGCGGAATAATCGATTTTAATCAATGAATTTGATGCAGGCCTAGTATTTGACGATGGCCATATGGATAGACTGGTGCCCACCATAGGAATGTGGAATTTTCACAATGGGCTCAGGGCTATCAACACAGATAAGCACCCCCAGATCTACTATAGTCCAAGTCTGAATTCCCAAATGTTTTATTTTTATGTTATATTTTGGTTCTGCCCAATGGCGACAAATTATAATACTTTCTAAATATTATGAGAAACTCATCCTGCATGCTGGAGCCATTGTACATGCAAAAGGCGATTTTTCAGCAACTAAAGGCCCAATTGTGACCACTGGAATGGGCCTCCCATGAGGCAGTTTATGTCACACGACAGCGCGCCTGTGTAATGCACACAGCCTTATTTTAGACCACCGACTCAACAGAGTTAAAACTGTGGGCCATATTATTTTCTAACTGTTTACCGGTTTCATCCTTCTTGGAAATCATCAGTACAGTATCGACATTTTGGACTTATATAATGAGCGATTTATTTATATTTAGTGACTTTCTTACCGTTTTCTCTATTTTGCACTCCTATCGTTGTTTGTATTATTTACTGCTGTAACTTGCTGTCAAGCCAATATGTAAACGAGCCTCATAGCTCATCAGATTCGTCCAGTCTAAATAGAGATTCTGATTTCCTGCTACTGCTGCTGCGGACTTGTGCCTCAGGGCGGCACCCTGACAGTGGCTTTACATAGACTGGCCCTCTGTGACAAGCCGTGGGGACAGCCAGCCCACTGCGTAAACGGCGAGAAGCACATCAAGACTCACTAAGCACCCTGCCCTAACGGTTTGAATGTGGGATTCCGTGGCTTTTCTTGTTGTTGTTGTGTGTTCCGACGTGTCGCAGACCCCCTGCTGCGCGACTACTGGGTGTACGAAGGTTCCCTGACGACGCCTCCGTGTTGCGAGCACGTGCTGTGGCTTCTCTTTCGATACCCGCTCACCCTCTCCCACGCCCAGGTAAATCTCTCGTCCCTGCCACCGCCGTCGTCATCGGCGTCTCGGCAGGCCGGCGTTTGCTTTGAGGGCGGCCCTCACCTCTGGGGTTCTCCTCCCATCGGCACCTCACAAAGCAGAAGGGCGACGCATGACCCCCCCACACACACACACACTCTCTCTGACGGGGACTCTGAGCGCAGCAGGGGACGCGTTACTCAAGGCGCAGATTATCGCAGAGGCGTGTCGGCGAGCGGCTACTGAAAGCGAGGAGCAAAAAGGTCACATTTGCTGAGGAATAAAAGGAAAATGTTATCAGCATTCTCCGATCGCAAAAACACAACTTAAGCCAAGGGCTGTCGTCAATATTGTTGGGCTGGAATCTCGGGGGGGCGGGAATGCTCTGCCCTGGGATTACTCTCGAAAAGCGTTTAAACAAACGCGCTGACACTGAGGAAACCCCAACGCGTTGGCATCTCCATCGCACCACTGGGCCTGTGGCTTACTGGGAGCTTATTCTACGAGTAATATTGTCATAACAGCTATTAGAGGACCATCTGCATTATATATTTCCGCATATACACATGGCAAGTAAAATCCGAAACCTAATTCTACGTGTTATTTTAATGACAGGTTACTTTAATTGCCCTCTCGATGTATTTTGAGGCCCAAGTCCCACATTTGTACAGTTAGATCCTTTGTTAAAACCAACATTTTTGTAATTGGACGTTCAAAAACAATACCTGTTAGGTGTTATTTTCGAAGCTCAAGCTGAATTCGTGTTGCCACGTTCAATATTTAAAATATACAATAATATAAAGTGAAAATCACGTATTGATATTCTTGGTTCTTTCGGTAAAGTCACGTAGAAGGGAAATAATACGTGACTTTACCGAAAGAACCAAGAATATGAATCCCTGCAGTCACGAAAGCTTTAAATCAAAATCACGTATTGAGTAACGGTTTTGGATATGACCCTTGCTTTTTATTCTGTATGCACAAGAAATGTCACTGCCAGAATCCACAACTTCAATTCAGAATGCAGTGTTTGTTAATGACAATGTGGTGACACGATAAAAGTGCCCATGTCCTTAAATCAGAAACCCCTCAGTTCTTGTAACCCATCCGCCCCAGTCTTAGCCGTGTGTATTTCACGAGATGACACAGAAATACAACAGACCATCATTATAATGACTGAGAGAAAGGAAAGAGTTGTCTGCGGTATATTCAAATGCCTCTTTTAACCAGGCATCTCTGTTTTCCAAAGCCCTTTGTACAAAGTCTCTTTATGTAGAGGCTTTGAAAGGTACTGCAGTTAGATGTACGGCCGTGTCATCATGACTGTGGAAACCGCGAACACTGGGGGCCGGTTTTAAGTGGCTTGTGCTTGAGGCTGTTGATTTAAACAACAGTTGTAGTAAGAACGCCTCAGTATGACCACACACAGAAGAGGTTACGGTAACACAAAGGGGGAAGAGGTAAGCATGACCGCACCAACCTTCATGTGCTGAGTTTGATCGTCACGTCCATCTCCTCACTTTGCTGGAAATATTTGAAACCTACCCAGTGTTATGTTATCGATGTTTTCATGCACATGCATGCATTAAATGGGAATGAAGGAAAAGCCATTCTGGGAAAAGTGGGTGTTGAGCACTGGATTTAAAGTAATTGCTGATCCCGGTTACGATCAGAGGCATCATTTATAGGGTTTGAGAGAGACTGAAGCCCTTGTCATGATCAAAGCCATCTGCAGATATTTATTTAGCTGGGCCAGTAAGCACAAAATGTAATAATATATCGAGTCAGCCACCCAAACTTTCCAAAGGGAGAACGTTCATCAAAAGGTAAAGTGTGCTGGTTGTTTTAAATGAAAATAGAAATTACATTTGTCAGGAAGTTGTAGAGGAAAAGTTTCAATGTCTTTATTCATTTGGTATTGGCTCCCTCTCCCTGCTACTCACACCCCTATGAGCACGGTGGAATGGTCCCTCGGTTGGCAAACCTGAAAAGGTGCACCTACTGAGGGCATCACAAGAACCATACATCTTATATTGTTCAATCTTAATTTTGGAGCTTTCGTGACTGCAGGAAGTATTCTTTGTTTTTTTCGGTAAAGTCTCGTATGCTATTATTCAACTTATTTAATTATTTAATTTATTATTTTATTTTTATACGTGACTTTACCGAAAAAAAACAAAGAATCTTATATTGTCTACATGTTATTCTTGAGTACGTGATGTGTTATTGCTTTGTTATTTTCAAATGAAAATTTCGGCGTTTTTTTTTTACATTTCCTCAATTTTGTTCTCCTCGTGCTATTGGCACCATCATCATCATCGTGTCATGAGCACCTCCGATGGCTACGTACGGTGCGAAAGAAGTTCAACATACACGCATCTGCACTTCCCCAACGTGTGGCACCCTCACACTGTGGTGCAACGCGCCGTGTTATGGAACGGTCTGCCGAAGATTTCACGGCACTGCTTCTGGGACTCATTCGAATGACCATTTGTCTGCACATGCTCATCCGTGCAATTTATTACATGCACTACTACGGGTAGTCATTGGCGATAGGGCTGAGACCCATCTACTCTCTGCACTTGAGAATCCGATTCAACCACGGGTTGATGCCTGGATTAAAACCCGGCATCTCAGCGGCGTTGGCCCTGTGCTCTGAGCCGTGAGTCACCCGACCAAGCTAATAGAGGTTCGGACTTTACTGTGCACATACTGGAATGTGAATCCAGTTTTCATCTGAATGCTGTCAATGCCAATAATGCACTCGGGTTACGGTCTAGACTTTCATTTGAGAGATTTGTCTCCAGATTGAACAAAAAGATATAGAGTTTCAAATACATTAAATCGCTCCTGCATCTCAGCTTTGCCTTATTTATCCAGCTATGTATGTATATATGTCTTTTCTGGCATCAATGTAATCTTCCCATAGCCATAACATACTTAGAGTTAATGCTCATTTCAAGGAAAAGGTCTCATGACTTGTGTTGCGAATCATGTTGCATGTCTTCTTGGCAACTTTTGCTGAGCCCGTGAGTAGCAGGTCATGAAAGGTAGATTATAAGATTGTGGCTTCATGAGATACCTTGAATTTAAAATGTCAGAATGTGAAGTTGTCTCTTGTCTCAAGGGATAATGGCTGCGTCAAGGTATTAAGTTTGCTACTCTGAGATCCGAGGTTAAAGCCTCTGCGTTTCTCGCAAGGGTGGAACAAATGGTGATTGACATAACTTGTGGCATGAAAAAAATCTAGCACGACCTTTTTAAATATCCATCTTTACAACTTTCTTTATATTTATATGTTGGTGAAACGGCAATTAGGCTCACTCAGCAAGAGATTTGTGAATTAATGTACTGTAGTTTTCATAAGTTTACTGCGGCGAATACTTTTGCGTGACGCAGATGGACGATGACCAAAGAAATGCACGCACAGGAAGACACGGTGACATTTACGCCTTTTGTCAGCAGTTTCAGTTGAACGATACAAATCAAAGTCCCTTGGAGAGTAAAGACAGATTCCTCCGTGGGGAGAGGTTCACGTGTGGCAGGGACGGGAGTAGAGGGGGGGGGGCAGTTTAAGGTGCCTGTTTCATCTGGCTTTCTGTCCTGAGCTCTAATGCGTTACAAAAGTAAGTTTGTGAAGTTTGTAGTAACGCAGCTCGCCCAGTAGCTTATGTGGGTCAACAATTTGGTGATCGCTTGCAGCCTGACAGCTACTGCTTCACACCGCTAACTGGTTGATGCATCTGATGATGATATGCCTAGTGCTGCTACTACTATCACTGATGATGATAATAATAGTGTACACTTCTAAAGTGCCTTTCACCCAGTAGTCACAACGTAATGTACAGAGAAAAAAAAACGTGCAGACTTACACCAATCAAATCCAATGTGACGATGGTCCTTTTGCTGCTGCTGCTCCTGCTGCTGCAGTAGTCTTGCTCGTTTTTGTTACAGCTCTCTTTGATGCTCCTCTCAAACGAATGTTGCTTAATCCAGGATATTAGTTATATAATGTTGTTGTCTAGCGAGAAATATCTTGGCCCGAGTGCCAGTGAGTTTGTATTTTTAGAACGTTTTGTGTGCGCAAGGAAACCGGTGTACCTTCGGATGGCCGAGGCACACGAGGCGAGGTCACTTAAATTCCACACAGCTCACGAGCTTACTTCGCTAAACGTCTTCGCACGTGCATCACGTGACACGTGCCCATCGCACACAACATCTGTGCGAGTCCAACAACCCTGCTCCCATAACGATCGCATGCAGGCATGTGCCACGGTACCCAGCCCACATGCATCATCTTTGTCGTCCTCGTCGCCGTCATTCACCCAGGGTCGGTTAAAAGCCTTACCACACCCATAATGAAGGTTTTTGGGAGTAGTGAATATAAATGTGTCGTGAACCCACCACCACCCGGCACAGCCGATTAGTAATATTTGTCACGTGAACAAAACGTGCCAATTAGATATAACTTCAGCACATCGGTGTGATGGCGAGTAAACCGACAACATTTACAATCGAGTACGACGTTTCGCTGGTGATTACAACCAGATCCATATATTTATGCGATCTAACCCAAAAAAAACCTTCATGAAGAATAGTATCGTTCGCGAAAGCCTAAACCTTGCCACGCCACCACCGTTCCTAGCGGTTCAGCGATGCCACACACCGTCTCGCTCCTGCGTGTGACACGACCTCATTGCTCCATCTACCCAGTGGTTTGTCTTCCTGGGCGCATTCTCTCCTTTAGCTGCCATTCTTCCACCAGTCTCGACCAGCAGCTGCATCCCGGCCGAGTCCAATTACGTTCCTTGACAGTCAATGTGATGCCCCTTACTTGGTGATGATTCCCTGATCCGTGTTATTATTCTTCCTCTGTCAGTGTAATTGTGAGTTTCGATCAATCCATGCTTTTTTGCCCACTTTTTAGCTCTTCAGCCTTCGTTTTTTTTTGTCGTCAGTGTGTGCGTATCTCGTCCACATGTGACAGATGGCAACATCCCTACTGATTGTTTTCTTAATGAGCATTTAAAAAAGAAGTGAAGTTTTACAAAAGCACTCTATGCTGTAATTGTTCACCTCTCATTTAATAATTCTGATGTCGATCCACATAAACAAATTTGCCGAGATATGCATGTTCTCCTACATACATAGCAGTCACTGACAATTATTTATACACACGCGCTGTGAGTATTTGCCGCAAATCATACATAATGAATGCACGTTTATGTCAGAATACTTGTTAACTCTGATCTGCAACAAATCTAGTGCCGTTTTTAATTGAACGACGAACATTTGCGATCAATATCAATGCCTCCAAACATCCCCAAATCCATGAATTTTGTTGAAACTACATTTTTAAGCCAACCATCTGTGCAGTGTGTAATTCTATCCGGTTCACTGCTGTGGAATAAATCTGCCGCTCTGCTATGTAAATGCATTGCTTTGAAACGCATGCAAAATAGCTGCAGTTATTATTTGAGCAAATTGACATTCATAGAAACTCGTTCGTTCGTTTCTCAATCCGCGTGTCCAGGTGAGGGTCGCGGATGCAACGTGTTGAGTATAGAGCAGTGCAGACCTCCTTTTCCCAGGCGACGGACTCTAGTTTTTCCTAGGGAATTCCCAGGCGTTCCAGGACCAGCCGAGCGACATCGTCCCGCCAGCTCAAACGATGAAAATGAAAAAAAAAGTGACTGCCGTGGTGGTGAGCGGCAGGGGGTGGGTTGGATTGGTGGCGGCAATCCGAATTAAGTGCTCGTGCTTAATGGTAATAGAGCAATGTGGAGGCTGAGCGGTTATCAGCCAGCGATGCAGTGCAGCTGTGGATTTCATGAGACTACGATGGTGCCAATACCGTCGTGTTGTTAATAGTTCTGGTGATAGTGGAGCCGTGTGTGTAACTACATGGCAGGCAGCGAAGAGCCATCAATGTGCTCTGGCTGTAGATTAATTACACACCATAGTGGTGATTATGGTTCTCGCGGCCATAATAAATGGTGGTGTCGGCGTGGTGCCGGGCAGCGATGGTCAGTAAATGGTGAACTGTTGCAGTGGATTAATTGGACCACAAAAGTGTGAATAGTGTTGATAGGACAAATAGTGGCAAGTCAGCTGGTGACCAGTAATGCCACTGTAGCTGTAGATTAATTGCACTGCAATAGTGTTAACGTACTTATGATACCCGAGCAGCATTACACCGCAAGGCAGCGTGCAGGCCAGCGGTTACGTACCGCAGGCTTGGATTAATTACGCCGTGATTGTGCTTACGGTGTTAAATGTGATGTTGGGCAGAAGTGGCTTTGTGATGACATACTGCTCTGATTAATCGTGCTCTGGCAGTGTTAATAATGCTTGATGGGTGTAGAAGGCAAATGGACCAAACGTTATCTAATTTTTATGTTGGGATATGCCATGGAAGATGATTAATCTGTTACTGATGGCTCATTTTGTCGAGGCGAGGGCACTCACCAATAACATTCAGTAAACAGTCAGCATATTTTTTTTGCTGAGCTTCCTTCTTGCCGACGAACTCTAAATTTGACAAAACTGGTCCTGAGTTGTACGTATGTTGAACTTCTTTCACACTGCACATAGCCAACAGTGATAATCACAAGGCTTGAATGTCCATAGGCCAATGGATGGAAATGTATTTTATTTGGATGTGGAGGTACGTAATGGAAGGTGATTTATTTAGAACTCTATAGTTCTAATGGTTCTGCATCGTACGGCTGGGGTGGCTATCTCCGATATCCACGGACAATTAATGACAGCCGATAGTGCGACATCGGTCACCAATCCCGAACCACGGAGCATATACCACTGCGCGTTTCGATAATTCGCCCGCAGCATTTAAGATATTCGCCATGTGGCCACTCCTAAAAGCCATCCACTGGCTCGCTCACCAACCTCGACATGAACTTATATAATCGTGGTTGATCAACGCCTCGCTATATGAAAGAAGTAGATCGGATCTGTTTGTGGATCAGTCTGGCGCTGAGCGGCAGTGAACAGTGGTGATGCGCTGTAGCTGTTGATTAATTACAGGATAGTGGCCGTCCATAAATGACGTCACGCACCTAAAGGTGGTCAGACATTGTGGGGGGGGGGGGGGGGGTTGAGAAATGTGACGTTAAATCAAAATGCGCAACTTTGAATAAATATCGACAACACGTTCTACTTAATTAAATCGACTTTTTAATAAATGTTTTCTCCTACAACATCAGAGTGCAGCGCCACATTAAATACGCACTACAATAACAATAGTTTAAAGCGATTTGAAGCATGTTTTATATTTTTTTGGGGGGGGGGGCAGAGCTTTGTGACGATGGGGGGGGAGTCAAAAATCGCCCAAAATCGCGTGACGTCACTTATGAACGGTCCCCTGATGTCAACGGCGGTGGAGCGGTGGCGGGCTGCGGTGATTTGCGGGTTGTTTCTCTGTGATCATCGCGGGCAGATCGAGGAGTTTCGGAGGCTGCGCACGCACAGCAAGGGAGTGGCGCCTTCCGACGGCTGCGACGGTCAACTTGGCGACAACTTCAGACCGACTCAGCAGCTCAACGACCGTGTCATCCGCGCTTCCTTCCCCTGACTGACGCACGCTCACACTTTTATCAGCCACGGCCGCTTACGAGATCCACCCCCTAACCCGATTTACGTGAGTAAACGCGCGCTCAATATCCGGCGAGGTTGCATCACACACAGTTACACTATGAGACATCTTCTTTAGCAGTGGAAAAATATAGTAATAGGGTTTTACCCTTTCAACTGGTACAAAAACTGACACCTTTATACAAGGCATCATGTTTGCAATAACCACAACACAAGCAGTCAAAATGCAAACAAAAAGAAACAACTCTGATAATGATATACACTGTCCTTGAAGTTGATTGGTCCACACCCGAGACAGCTTTTCTGGTGTTAGACCAGATGACGCCTTTTTCAACACCAATGGAGACTAGGATCTAAGAAAAGCTGTCTTGGGTGTGGACCAATCAACTTCAAGGACAGTGCCTATCATTATCAGAGTTGTTTCTTTTTGTTTGCATGTTGACTGCTTGTGTTGTGGTTATTGCAAACATGATGCCTTGTATAAAGGTGTCAGTTTTTGTACCAGTTGAAAGGGTAAAAACCTATTACTATCACACACTGTGTTCAGTGTTGAGATTGACTCGCTGTTGTTATCGAAAGGTTGCGATTTCAAATTTCTGATCGGGGGTGGGTGGAGGTCGACCCAGCCGATCACGCGTGCGGGGTTTACGATGACACGAGTACCATTTAGTGGGAGGCGTTCATCCTCACGAGAAACTGGACTCCACCGGGGGAAATATGGAATTGTTGCCACCGATTCTGAGCCGCCTACACAGATGAGTGCCCTCCCACGCTCGTATTAACAGAGATACTCCGACACGACTTTTCCATTAATTCACGGCTCGTTGTCAATGTGTTGCTGCGTGAAGACTTATACCATTGTCGGTCATGGGGAGTTGTTTGACCTGACCTGAACCATGCTATTCAGTGCGGGTTTGTTGAACGCTGGACCCAGAGAACCAATTCGGACATTGCCCGCCAATGATCCGGAATCGATGTTCAGGCAGCCGGGTTCACAGTCCACTTTGCAAACCACTGCGCCACCGCTCCTCTCTGCCACTAGATTATTTGCACGTAATTAGACTCTGCCTGTGGAAATTCACGTTTCTACTGTATGTGTCCACGAAGATGAATGTGTAATAAAAGAAAAACGTGAAATATATTGTTCGTTCAACGATATATATATCAGTACAGATGGGTGTGCGAACGTGTGTGTGTTATAAATCACGAGCGATATATTTGGTTTGTGTATATGCAAGTTGGTCGAGTGAAACATTAATAAAAACAGGAATGATTGTTTTATCTCACCAACAGGAAAAGAAAACATCAGTGGCGTTCCAGCCTGCTGGTCTTCTATAACAAGCGTGCATATACACGTTTCTGTATATACATACCAAACATAGCATACGTATATGTTGATATGCTCTGCATACTATTTTCTCATGGATGATGAATTGTACAGTGTATGTTAAAAACAGCTCTGATATATCGTGTACAGCTGTTTAAAGATCACGAATCGGATTAAAGGCGGTCACCAAGGTAACATCGGATAATGAACACATAACCAGAAGAGGCTACAAGAAGCATTTCCAGGAGGGAGACGTAAAGATGTCCCTTGGCGTCTCGCACATTTGTTTCGTGTAAAAGTTCTCATTGTAACTGATGTAATAAAAAAAAACCCAAATGGTTTTAAATTTGGTCTCGAGAAATTGCATGGCTCATTTTGCGAATAAAAACGTCCAATTTGTAATGTGCTATAAGGAATCGGTTTTATGCATTTGCAATAAATACACTGCCGGCCATTAAACTTCACAACATATTTATTGCTGCGTTGTGCAATTTGTCCAAAACAATGTTTGGTGTTCGTTACGATATCCCAAATCCTTTATTCTGTGTTCAATGTACGAGAAATATGAGCACGTGTGACTCTGTTTCTGCCGGTGCCCAAACGTTGCCAATATGGCATTCATTAAAATAATACCTGCCATGAAATATCAAAGCTATATTTATAAAGACTATATATTCTTCAAAAATATGTACTCAACTCTGTAATGGGGGGGGGGGGGGGGGGGGGGTGAGGCATAAGCATGCTTGAGCAACAAAGTTAATTAAATTTGATTTACCGTGGCAGGTACGTGAGCAGGGTGTTTCCTGCAATGCGGTTTTTGGCAGCAAAGCCAGTGGCGCCTTTGCTTGAGTACCAGTGCCCGTACTGTATGTTCATTAAAATGTTACATCAATCAGGCCTTATATGTGTTGCCAATTCCTCATACAAAGGAGGTCGTTTCGTTTTTTTATGAAAACAATGACAACGTATCTCTAAATTTCGATTTAAAGCTTTCGTGACTGCAGGGATTCATCTTCTTGGTTCTTTCGGTAAAGTCACGTAAAAGGGAAGTAATAAAATAATAAAAATAAAACATAATAATCAGTTGAATGAAGTTTCCTGTTTCAAGACGATCAGTGGCGCGCTGTCCAATAATTTAATTGACGTACCGAGGAGAATGGGATGATTCTAAGGGGGCGATAATGCCACGCGTGTGATGTCGTGGTTGAGCATCGCACTGCTTCTGGCAAGGCGGTGAGCACGATCGGTAAAAATTGGCACAGGAAAGAATGGCACAAGTGGTAAGTAGGAAAACATGGCACAATACTGTACTAACAGTTATATACAGATCTGAATGAAAGAGATGATTAACCCTAACCAGTTCACTCTGCCATTTTTTTTATAGTTTTCACTTGTGCCCTTTTTCCTGTGCCATTTTTGTTTTACCGGCCACCCAGTGAGCACGCTTCACCATTGCTCGCAAAGAATTGGCACAAGAGCCCTTGCAGGGCAGCTGCTAATGGCGGTCATGAATTGTTGTTTTGTTAGTTACGGAGCGTCATTCATCGCAATGCGCTGTAAGGGTTTGTGAAGTGAACGGTTGTCTGCACAGAGCACCGGGCAACCGCAGGCCAGCGGGAAGGCAGCCAGAATCGGCGACGGCAATTGCCCAAGGTCTGTGGTCCTACGGTTGGCATGTATTTGGCCAACTCGATTTGTGAGTATAGATGTGGAAGGAGACCGGTGTACAAAGAGAAAGCCCATGTGTGCGAGGGGTATCACACTCAATCCCCGACACGTGAAAATGAACTCACTTGCTGTACTGCCGACACCTGCCTGGCAAGGCAGGAAATGGTTGACCATCGATGCCTTAGCGTAGGGAGGGCATTTTCGCAAAATTTGTCATCCGTAAGACCTCGCCTCCAAAGTGCTGGTCTATAGGTGTACGCCACCAGCGCCTGGCTAACGAATCGTTCTGGTTAACATTTAAAACATTTGCTAAAAGTGCCAAATTTGGTACGGATGAAGTTACAGAATGTCAGCCATTAAAACAAGCTGCATTCGAGGCCCTAGGTTGGAGGGTGTTCACCATGCCTCGACTATGATTCACCGTTATACTTTAGACTGATACCTGAAATGTTGTCTTGTATTTTGCCAAGTATATGATGTCATCACAGTTGAACAATTGTTATGTAACTGGTTTACCCAGGAGAAGCTCAGTGAGTGTTACGACTTTTACAGGAGGGTCCTGCCAAGTTTTCACAGAATGGTGCAATGTTGCTATGCATTTTCTTAATTGGGTAATTTATAGTTAGTTTTTCAACAGTCAGATGTCTGGCCATTTCCAGTTACATCGTGTGCATTGTCCTAGCTATGGGAAGAAACAAGAGAACCCAGAGGAAACCCATGAAGAGCAAACTCCACGCAGAAAAACGTCCGAGTCGGGGATTGAACCCAGGCTGTTCTTGCTGTGAGGCGCACGTTTTACCACTGCGCCACCCTGTCACTCAGTCATATCTTACTTTAATGTTTTAAGATAATTTGTACAGCATATCGATATGTATATTTTTATTTATTTCACAGGACTATTAAAATTAAGCACATGAGTACGTATCAGGTGAAGTTGCCACTTGTATTTTTTTTTTTTAAGTTAGACATTGTAAAAGCTACATTTGATGCCATCTTTCATGGAAATGGGCTGAGAAATCAAGTTAATGAAAGTTTAACCTAAATATCATTTAAACCTTGACCCCAGCCCCCTATGTCTTGTAAAAGGGCTTTGGCTGAAAAAAGTAAGAGTTTTTAAACGGCTCCCCCCATGCTGTCGTCAAAAACTCTATGTTGTCCTCGGTGTGTTCCAAATATGTGATGCTTGTATCCACCACACTCTGAACGATCCTCGTGTCACGCTGACCTTAACAACTGCACTGTGCATTCTACGATCTGGGAATTATTTACACATGCTCCCATCCTGTAATCAAATAATACATTGTAAGCTACGTCTCCACCAAGCCTGCGGCTTTGATCAAGTTTCAAACAATATTTTCCCCTTAACAGCCACACTGCCACTGTAAAACGACGTGCCATTGTGTACTCTTAGGTTTTTTTCGGTAAAGTCACGTAGGTAAAAATTTTAAATTAATAAAAGTAAAATAAAACAAATTAAAAAATTCACGACGTTTCGGAAGCAACACAAGCCTCCGTCTTCAGGTGGAACCGTCACAGCCACGACAGCTGTATCAAGTAAATGAGAGATCACAAGAAATACTTTTATTAATTAAATTTTTTTACCTACGTGACTTTACCGAAAAAACCTAAGAGTATGAATCCTTGCAGTCACGAAAGCTTCAAATCTAGAATTAGTGCCATTGTGTGTTCATGGCCCTCATTTATGAATGTGCTTGCCTAGATTGCTTGAAAAAAAACATCGTAACAACTGGATATCAATCGCCGACTGTCAAAGCAACACGCATCGGGGTTTCATAACGGTGAGAAAGGCACTTAAGCGTTAATGATTTTTAGCAAAATTATTTAGTCATAATTGTAAAGAGCCTCCATGTCAGGATGTAATTTGGAGTGTAATTTACTAAACCTGTTATGCGCGCACTCGTGTGCGTTCTCTGGACACACTTTGGCCTTAATGACGGCCGCTGTAAATGTGTCAAATTAGCATAGAAATTGTTTGCTCCAATTACACCTCGCGTATTTGCTCCACGCATGACGACCGTGGTGTGATATCAATATAGATTGTAGAACCTCGGCAAAGTGGATTAAAAAGAAAAAAAATCAATGTGTTCCTGTAAAAATGTGTCATTGCGACTCAAAATTTTGCACCATTTCAGGCATTAATAATAACAATTTAAATGTATAAATCGTTCTCAGGGCGCTATGCATGGAAAGGCAAAAATAGTTTAACATCAATCAAGGAAAGAAGAAATGAGAAAGACGTTTGAAAATTACTAAAGAGAGAAAGTAATTTAAAACAGATAACGTTTTTTAGTCGAGATTTGAAGATTTGTAAGTGTCTGGGAAGTCCCCTTGACTTCGAAGGTAAACGAGTTCCAGAGTGTAGGTGGCCGCAATTTCAAAGGCACCGTCACCCCCAAGTGTGGAGCCTCGAGACCGTGGCACAGTGAGCAATGCACAATCTGATGATCTCAATGATCTCGATGGAATATATGGCTGAAGGAAGCCATTAGTGTAGGGAGGAGCAAGTCCATTTAGTTGAAATAAATATTTCGATTTAAAGCTTTCGTGACTGCAGGGATTCATCTTCTTGGTTCTTTCGGTAAATTCTAGATTTGAAGCTTTCGTGACTGCAAGGATTCATACTCTTAGTTTTTTCGGTAAAGTCACGTATGTGACGTCACGTATGTGACTTTACCGAAAAAAGTCACGTATGTCACGTATGTGACTTTACCGAAAGAACCAAAAAGTTGAAATAAATAGTTAAAACTTTTAATGAAATGTTTTAATGAAATGCTTTAACTATTTGTTTTTAATATTTGCCCTTGACTACACATGTAAGTTCACAATATTTCATTTCCTTATAGATTTTCACTGCTTGCGTGGTTTACTTTAACCCACAACGATCGTTTGATGAGATTAAAAACAGGGCACTGTTCGCAATTTCTGAAGTTAAACTCTTTTCTTCACCTTGTGTGGTGCAGTGGGATTGGCTTTTGTGGCTGGGAATGGAACCAATGTTTTGTGTAACAGAGGTTTTGCGAGATAAGCCCATGTGCAACGCAGTGGCCAAACAGATTGGTCATTGTGATATTTGATTTAAATTAAACGTAGTAAACTGAAAATGAAAAAATTAGGCTGAAAACTAAACTTTAAAATAATGTAATGAACACATAATTGAAGTTGAAACTGAATAATGAAATGTAAATGCCAGTGCCCCCCCCCCCTCCCCCCCACTCTGTTTCACGGACTTATTTCTACTCCGGTGGTTTCATTAAAACCAGGTTGCACAATTATCCAAAGGTTCAGCTCCTTAAACACAGCCAATTTTCTCTCTCATGCTGACCACCACGAAATTCACTAGCCACGTGGTTTCTCACTCCAGAAAGCCATAAGGGGCGGGGAGGGGGCATCTACTGTTCATATCCCTGAACCAGTGGTGGAAATTCACACATTCCTATAGAAGAGTGAGTAAATAGATAGGACAGCCACTGCTGACTTCCCATAAAGTTGGTTCTTATTTAATAGACCCCAGAGCGATGAAACGCTGAGTTGCCACCTGGCTGCCATTTGTATCACAAGGACCTGGTGGCAAGAATAACTATAATGCCAATGTCGAGAAGTAAAATGGGGACGTGACGTCATGTGTGCCGTTCAGTGCGATGACGTCACGTCTCCTAGGGTACTTAAGGGAGAGCCCGTGACGTAAGCGGGGTCACTGTGGGAACGGGTAGAGTGAGAAGGGTGAAGAGGGAACCAGTGGGTAGAGAGAGGGATCGAATAGGGAGTCTGGGGAGCAGCCGGTGGTAGCCGTAGAGGTGCTTCTCTCTCCGCTCGGTGGAGTCGGCAGAGTCCACGATCCGACACGAGAGAGAGAGACCGGAGCGAGCCGGCAGGGACCCGGACTCAGAGTAGGACCCCTAGCCCCTGGGAGCTGTGTACCCTGCTGTGTAGTATTGTAACAGCTTTAATAAACCCTGGCGAAAGCCCTTAATTTACCTCCGTCTACGAGTACGTCCGTCGGAACTACTCAACACCAGTATGCATCTATTAAGTGGTAACGAAGGAGAACCGTACGTGAAATGTTGGTGGGTAGTGAAGTCTTCACTTTTAAAAAACACACCCGAGTATGGAACCATATGGCTTTGAAAACCGCCAATGGCAGCTGTTGGATAACATCGCCCCCACAGTAATGGAGCCGGCGGCCGTTCAATGTTGATACACGAACAGCT